GGACGCTCCCCCAGTACTCCGATCGGACGCTCCCCCAGTCCACCGATCGGACGCTCCCCCAGTCCACCGATCGGACGCTCCCCCAGTCCACCGATCGGACGCACCCCCAGTCCACTGATCGGACGCTCCCCCCGTACTCCGATCGGACGCCTCCCCCAGTCCACCGATCGGACGCACCCCCAGTCCACCGATCGGACGCCTCCCCCAGTACTCCGATCGGACGCTCCCCCAGTCCACCGATCGGACGATCTGAGACACCTGGTGACACGTTGGCGCCATCAGAAATCCTTCTAGCAGGAATCAAAGTGATGAGGTCATCAGAATTGGCAGCTTTTAAAAGCCCTGCTGGTTAGACGGAAATGATGAGGAGGTCTGCTGCCACGGACCAATGGCAGCAATCAGCTGCTTCCAGCATCCTGCAGCTCTCCCAGTAACACAATCCCAGTAGGTCTGTTCCCAGCCAGCTCTCCCAGTAACACAATCCCAGTAGGTCTGTTCCCAGCCGGCTCTCCCAGTAACACCATCCCAGTAGGTCTGTTCCCAGCCAGCTCTCCCAGTAACACCATCCCAGTAGGTCTGTTCCCAGCCGGCTCTCCCAGTAACACCATCCCAGTAGGTCTGTTCCCAGCCAGCTCTCCCAGTAACACCATCCCAGTAGGTCTGTTCCCAGCCAGCTCTCCCATTAACACCATCCCAGTAGGTCTGTTCCCAGCCAGCTCTCCCATTAACACCATCCCAGTAGCAGGTTTCTCTGCTCCTCATCCATCCAGCTGACATGATGTCAGAGATCTTAGATCTGCAGCAGCTAGAAGTGGAAACCATTTCTGCTCCTGTAGATCTAGGTTCTGCTCCTGAGCACCATCTCCATGGAGGTTAAACTGGTTAGATACCAAACCAGTAACGATTTACTGGAAAAACAGGTTTCAGAGGACAGCATACTGGTGAGTGATCAGAGAGAGAAGCTAACTAGCTTAGCAGCCATGCTAACGCGGTTAGCATCCAGCTACCGGCTCTGTCAGCCAGCCGCCCCGCTAAAGCCGCTCCCTGGGCGGCTGGTCCATTAGCCAGCGGGCCGCTCATACCTTCAGATGTCAGGCGGCAGAAGGGCCTCAGCAGCTCGGCTAAATTCAAGCTGTTCTTCCGGCAGACTCTCTCCGCTTCGCTGCTGCCTAACACGGCTATCATCGGGACAAACGAGTCCTGGATGAACTCGTTAACGGACAGCAGACAGTGGGCCATGATGGAGGACAGCTTCAGACAGCTCCCAGTTAGCAGGCGGCGGCCATGTTGAGAGGATCCTCTTCCTGTAGAGCTCAGCTGGTCAGGTGACTCACTCTCAGTTTTTTTTAAAACAAACTTTATCTGAAACCAAGAAAATGACAACAACTCATTTACCAGGATTTATAGAGAGAACTGTCTCCTAAAACCCGCTAAAATAACAGGATTTAATATTTATTGACATAAATGAAGTGGCGGGATCACCGGCTGAGCCAAGAAATAAGGATTTTTAGACAACTTTTTAGACTTATTAGTTTGGTTTCATTTAAGCTCATTTTCATTATGGCCTGTTGGTATTAAACAAAATAAAAACCATCTAAACAATTAGTTTCATTCAGACAATTAATTTCTTTGTGGTTGGACTCGGTGCTGCCCCAACTTGTTGCTTACCACATACAAAAATAAGTCGTTTTTCAAGATGATGCAAAGTTAAATGTGATTTTGTTACCATTAGTTATAAAACTAAGAAAATTTAGTCTAACGAAGTTATCATCCAGAATTATAGAAAAATGTTCCTTTAACAGGGTAGAACAGGAAAGCTTCTTTTACTGGATTAAAATGCTGAAGTTGATCCTCTAACAGTCTAACTTCTATAAAAGTGTTTTTAAATAGTTCTTCTAGTGATAAAGTGAGCATCCCACCGACGGCCTGCATCACGTCAGGAAACCAGCGTCTGAATCCACAGAGCTTCATTTAACCCAACAGACCGTTACATCCTTTTATCTTCAGTCATGGATGATGATGATGATGATGATGATGATGATGATGATGATGATGATGATGATGATGATGTGCAAATAGTAAAATTCTATGTCTGTGAATCTATGGTCATTTCTAGTTGCTCGTATGGTCGGTCAATAAGCTGCTGGTATAAGTCCCATTTCCAGTTCAGGTAGAGAGAAGCCAACGGGATATGCAGAAAAACAGTAACATAAACTCTTGGAGGCAGACTGAGTGACGTAGAGCCAGAATTAATAGAACCTGTGGAAAGAGGCTTTACATTCCCTGGGCATTTATTGAGCTGTTTTTCTTTGCTGATGCATCCCTTATCCATAGGCCAGACTTCAGCTGCCTCTAATCCACCCATCATTCCCAGCATGTATGCCTTCTATGGAGAAACATCCTCTAGAGCAGCGGTCCCCAACCACTGGGCCCGCGGATCATATTTGTGTTTTTCCTGCTGTTCTGGTTAGCTGCTGTGATTGCTAACGCCGGTTAGCATTTGTTGCTAACAGTAATTCAGGTAATACTGCTGCTGCCTAGAGTTGCTGTATTTGCAGTTGCATGGCTTCTGTTATTGCTACTGATCCAGCAGTGTTTCTATGAAGCTTGCTGGGATTTAGGTTACATTTTTGTTTATTTCTGGAGCTGTTTGCTGAAATGTTTAGTGAGAATCCTAATTTGGCTCATAAGTACTTTTATGTTTGTTCCCTTTTCCAGGCCATACTCATATCCTCCATAAGCCCAGCATGTAGCCTATGTTTCACCTGTAATTATGCATCTCAGCCTGTTATGGACCATGTTCTGTGTCTGGAGCTGCATTAAAGCTGCCGATCTTTCTCTCCAGTTTCCTGATTCACTAACCAGAATCTCCCATCCATGGTGTCACTTCAATCAGCCTTCCTATTCTGACTTAAAATGTAGAAGAGTTTTTTCTACAGGAGGAAAACATAAAGATTGATCTGTTTTACTGAGGGGTGGGCTCTCACTCTTTGAAAAATAAAAAATGAAAAACAAAAACCCAAGGCTTGGAACTGAAGAACCATGACATGGATAAAAAAGCCTGTTTTTCAGGGTTTGCTCCTGTTTCTCTCCTACAGCTCTGGCCTCAGCTTTTACTGGGACTAACTGGATTTTCTCTCTTTCATTCTTTGACATGAAAACTGACTCAGAGCTCGTCTGGTTAACTGGTTTTTCCCCAGACCTTTTTCACCTGTGGAGCTAGCTTTCCTTTAGCCTTTCTACCATAGAAAGTATTTACAGATCAGAGCTTCTATGTTCAACTTCACAGGAAAAACGCTTTGCAAACAACTTCATCTGGAATTAATTCCTTCTGAACCAGTAGATACCAAACTCATGTTTTGAAATAAAGGGTTGTGCAAAAGCATGAAAGCTGAGCCAGCCAACTCAGCCAATTATACTGAAGAGCCAAAGTCAGTCCTGTATGTATTGGTTAATATTTTACTGACATAACCCACATTATTCATCATCTATGATGAGAAATCAATCATTTCATCAGAGAAGACTTTTATTCAAACATTTATAATATATTTCAGTCAGCCGGGAGGGTATAAGAACGATACCATGATCCTCCATGGGAGCAACGCGAGGAGAGCAGCTCCTGTCTGCTGGTGGTTCTGTGCCTTACCAGGGGCCCAGAGGGCTGGCTGCAGATGGCCACTAACACTTTGGGGCCCCAGACTGCTTTATTGTAATCCCTACGTCATTTTGAAGAGCGGCTCCCCTGGTTTGCATGGTGGTTCTGGTTCTGGAGGTGGCCGATCCGGCAGGGATGGCGCCCGGGTAAAGAGACAGAGAGCAGCCGGTTTGACGACAGAGAGGTTTTGACGACAGAGAGGTTTGACGACAGTCGCCTCTGCTGGCTCCAGGGGGTGACAGGTGTGCCCCCCCCCCCCCCCCAGATGTCTGACAGAATAAAAGTCATTGTTAAAACAAATCACCTTCCTGCCGTTTCACTATTTCGCGGTTTCTGCATTAATTCTAAAAGTTTAAAGTCAGTTTAAAGACTGAAACATCTCAATTCATGAGGAGAAGCAACCAGAAGACTGAAGAGCAACAATGATTTTGTAATCTTCCATCACAGTTGGAAATCAAACTTCATGCAAAGTATCCCCAGAGAAAGACGTTGACCGCCAGCAGCAGCAGAGCATTAAAGTTGCAGACTCTCCTCCAGACTGACTCCTCGTGCAGGAAGTGCAGATCGGTCTGTTCTGTGTTTGGAGCTGCTGATTGAGACGTTTGATTCAGGCCGCAGAGACGCAGAGCTACTCTCTTCCATGTAGGCTGTTCCCTTCCTGGGCTGATGCTGTCCACGGGGTCAGGCGCTGTCTGAGGGGGCGTGAGGTCGATGCGAGGCTCCACACTGAACCTGGACCACCAGGTTAATCTGTAGAGCTTTTGATTAATTAGACAATGTTAAATGAGGTAATGTCACAATTCAATTCAGTTTATTTCTATAGGGCCAATTCACAACACGTGTCATCTCAAGGGACTTTCCAGTTCACCGGATCACCCAGTATAACCATAAACCTCCATTCACACCTTGTTCCTAGAACTAACTGGTCTAACGAAATAAGGAAGAGAAAAGCAGAAAGTGTTCCTCACTCCACCCAAACATTCACACAGCAGGTTTGTATTTTTATCCGTATTAAGACTCAAATGGAGTTTCATTCATTATAGTAACTGCGGACCTGTGGGGCTGCTGTCGGTCATTAGATATCTACAGCTCTAGTTCTATCTGTGTCTGCCCTGGGCTCTTTGGGATGGTTCTGGGGCCCCTCACACCATCTAGTGAGCATATGTTTCTGCTGAGGGAGCCTTACAAACCTTATATACAGAAGTATACTCACGCTTGGATGCTACGATGGAGTATTAGGGCCAGCTAGAGTTTTAATATTCACAGAATAAAGTCGTAACATTACGAGAATAAAGTCGTAACATTAAGAGAATAAAGTCGTAACATTAAGAGAATAAAGTCGTAACATTAA